TAGCTTGGAAAGCTAAAGTAAAATGCAAAAAAACTATACCATCAATGAGGCACCAAAGTTTAGTTATTCCAACATTTTTTTAGTTCTAATTGTCCAATTTTATTTTGGAGGACTGTAATCTTCGATCAGTCATAGGGGTGTTAAACAGATTTGTTCTTAGCAGTTTCTGTTTTAATTTGCAAGTAATCTGCATAACAATGATTATGGGTGATAAATGATGCAGTAATATACTTATATTTTAAGGGATCAGGAAAAGCCTGTTAAGCCTATTTTTATTTTTAATAGTTTTCATGCAAATATAAGTAGCTCATCCGTGATCTTTAGAGTCATCTCTTTCTGTCAGAAAAAGATATCAAGTGGATAATTAAAACTTGTTTTAACGATTGCTACAGTAAAAGTTTACTTTTCTATATGCAATAGTATTTAAAATCACACATATTGTATGGTTGACTAAAACCTTTACTTCTGAGGGTTGTAATTATTATAATCAGGAGTATGCAACCACAAAATGAGAGAGAACATTCTGTTTAATAGACATAATATTAAAAAATAAATTCACTCTAAATTGGTCCTTTCTGTTTAGAAAATGAAAGTTGAACTTCCTAAGAATAAAGTGTGACAGGTATTCACCTAGCATCAAAAGTGATAGCTCCACTGACCTTAATAGAATTATGGCCCTATAGTTCAATCGAGGATCTCTAATTGTTTCATTCACCTTTTCAGTGTATGGGCATACCCACCAAACTGGACTTACCAGCAATGGCACTTGCAAACACACTTACACTGGAAATTCCTTTAGTCTCAAAATACATATGTGCACATTAATTTGCACCTTGGAAGTGGTCTGCATTAGCTTCTCCCCACCACTTCTTAATATCTGTGTCCGTGTGTGGCTGAGAGATGGTTCAAATTATATGCCGTAAGAACATGGGCATAGGCATTTGCAAGCGCAATGGCTGTCTTTCTGAACTATATGCTGATGTGAATCCATATAGTTGAGAGAAGGAGAGAATGCTAAGTCTTAAAAGTCTTAAAAGTCTCGAAATATTGTTTCATCATTCTAGTGTCAGTTTGGAATAATCAAATGTACAAGTTCAGGGAGAAATACATAACATTAAGTTAATTCTCCAAAGGTTTCTGGGTCTGAGAAGATGGAAATATTAGATGCAATAGTTCATAGACATCTAATGTACTGCAGTAATCAAAGAGATGAATATTAGTCAAAAGGACTGCTTTTCTCTCTACTGATTGGCTAAAATTGTCCTGTATTTTAACCGCTTTAATTAACATTCAAAGTCTTGACTTACTAACAGATTTCAAAAAGTAACTGCCGGAATCCACTGTCAAAATGAAGAATCAGACACTGAAACTGTTAGAGTCCACAATGAGTTCAATCACCACAGAGAAAGTAAGCCTTTAGGGAAAATACGTGAAAATAGCGAAGAACAAAACACATCAGAAAGGAAACGTAGAAGAGAAGAACTGCTTGTTCTGGTAATTAATGTGCATATTATTAGACCATGTCCTGAATGTCAAAAGATTGAGGCTCCCAGGCATTTCAACTCCAGTCTGTTAACAAAAACAATACAGATGCTTGTTCCAGTGGTGCATGAGAACAGGGGCGGTCTTTCAGATATCCAAAATCCAAATGATAACCCTCACAGATTGGGATGATTATGTTAAGTGAAAGGTAGTGCATACTTGAGAAAACAAGTGTAATACACTCTCACAGCTAGCTCTGCTTACAAGTGAATAATTGTGTTTTGAACAAACTGCGGCTTCTGAGTACTTTGCTGAGGATGTTGAGGGTATTTCCACAGAGAGCGTGTAGCGGCAACCAGCTTGGACATCACTAACAGTGACGCAACATTTTTGCACAGCAGCATATAGTTACTACTGCCTGAGAATTTGGGCACAAGTCAGGATCCAGAAGCTCCTCCAGACTGCAAACCTCATGCAGATGTTCAAGACAGGCAAATCTCTATAAATAATCAGACACTAGGTCCATCATAATATAAACACTAAGTTTTTTTCTTGCCAGAGTCCACAGATGAAGAAAATCTCAGTATCATTATAGTAAAAGGCTGTTATCAAATATAAAAGAAACAGCATGGGAACTAGACCTCTGCCCATGGGGTTAAAGTTGTTGACTGCTGGCAAGAGATATTTAAATAAATGATACTAGTCTAGTTTGTGTTCATATCAAAACTAGATCAAAAGGGGCAATCTGAGATGGCACTAGAGTGATCTTCCTACAAAGTGAATAACCATCCCCCAAAAAGGGAGATTTATAGAATATTTATTTGTATTGTAGAAGCAGCTTGGCATGCCAGTCCTAGACTGGAGCCCCACTGTGCAATGTGCTATACCCAGAATAAAAGGATGGTTTCCTACTCTAAAGAGCTTACGTTCTAAGTACAAGTTGGCAAGTTTCTCCCATGAACAAAGCCAAATAAACCACAATTAGTAAGACAGCTAACATCAAGAGATGACTTCTTGAACATGATTTTAATAACATTCATTTGAAGGAGTATGACAGCTTGCCTTATAGTGCCTCAGGAAACCCAGGAACATCCCCCTTTGTAAACTGTGACTTTGAGTTTGTCTTGTTAGGAAGGAGTTTTTGTGGGGGTGATATCAGGGAACTGAAAATAGCCAAAGAATAAGGAATAGCAATAGAGCTGAATAGGTTGATATTTTGGTTTGAAAAAATGTATATCTAAAATTAGTGATTTACATATAGTCATAGTTTCATAGTTTCTAGGGTCGGAAGGGACCTGAGCAGATCATCTAGTCCGACCCCCTGCCATGGCAGGAAAGAGCACTGGGGTCAAACGACCCCAGCAAGGTGGTCATCCAACCTCCTCTTAAAAACCCCCAGGGTGGGAGCCTGCACCACCTCACTT